AGTTTATTATTTCTCTTGGCTGGACATCAAATTTTGCTATGCTCGATCATTATTCATTTTCATTTCTCACCATAAAAGTATAATGTATGGTTCATATATTATTCCTTACTCATTAGCCATGAATTTTTTACTTTTATGTGATTGGAAAGAGTGTTAAATCACAGGCGAGATAACAAAATCATGAGAAATTACATACACGATGCTGGTGGATTAGTTTTGACATACCTCTCGGGTAAAGTATATATTTATCATTTGTACCATGATCAGCTTCATGAATTTGGAGCTTTTTCTTTGTTTTTGCGTTTGAATCTGGAGGCTAAGATGGTGGAAGTCTTCCTCCTCATGGTGCTTAAGCATGATGGTTGCTTTAAGAAAGCTTAGCCGAAAGAAAGTGATGAAAAATGATCATGATAAAGTAAAGATAAAATTCATAATTCTGGCATATTGAGTTGATTCAAGAGAAGAATAATAAGTAATAATCGGATTTCTGATACGGAGGTTCATCTCAAAGATGCAACCGTAGAGCATACTCTCGTCATATTATAAATCGAGCTCTAAAGGGCAAAGACTCGTGCTGATAACGTGTTATAAAACTAGAGAGAAAGAGAGAGAATAGAGAAAATGTATTCTCTTAGGTATGTTTTTCATTATAACTGAAGCTCCTATTTATAGGAAACTCCTGATGGCACAATTTGTAATAATACAAATACATCGAGGGCAAAATAGTCATTCACATACATTATTTTTTTTATATCTAATGTAACATAAGTAACATTTTAATTTCATAACATAAGTAACATTTTAATTTTAATATCTAATGTAACATCTTGTTCATTTTTTTATATTTTTATTATTATTATTTTTTATTTTTTTTTCACTCTACAATACAATTTGCTTTTTACTCTCAACCACTTGTATATAGTATACTATTATTATTATTATTAACCATTAAAAATTTGAAAAATCACAAAATTTTAAAAAGCATAAAACAGAGTCTGACAATCCCGATGAATATCGTGTATCGATTAATCGCTTTTGTGAAAACCCTCATTAAATTGTCGTCATTAACACAAGAATTTATGCTCGGAAACAAGCTTTTATGATATCTTATTTCTTAATGATCAAAACCAAATGAAAATTACATACTTAAAGATGGAAAACAACCCAATGCAAACTACTCTACAAGTCCCTACGAATTTGAAAAAGAAAACAAAAAAATAACTTCTGCTAATGGCTCGTGACTACTCTTCATGCACAACTGTCCAAGCTGTTGTCGTGTCGCTTTCGCCGCCGCGAGACCTAGTATATCGTCCTCCTCTGTTGGCTCGTGGTGGGCAGCACAGCGTGATGGATATCCACTTGTCGTCGCGTCGCGGCATGACGCTTCGCTGGTGCCCATCCTCTGTTCGGTCACGATGGCCCTCGCGGCGCGACGGCCTATTGCATTTGTCTGTTTGTGCCTGCTGCTTATAGTTTGTCATGGTTAGGCCTGTCGCGGTTGGGTATGCACCTCCTTCATACGAGCATGTCGAGCTCGATTATACGTGTTCTTAAGAAGCTGACCTTCGTTCGCATCATTCTCGTCTCTTTCAAGTATGTTCTTGTCCTCAAGGATAAAGTTCAAAAATTGATTGCGAATATCTTGCAAATTCTCTCAAGTTGCCTCTTCTACGACAAATCCTCCCATTCAATTAAGACTTCCCAACGGAAATGCCCAACCCTTTTTATTCATTGATACTCTCTTGCTCGACTAGGCCGCACAATGAGTTGTCCCTCTCGACTCACTGACGGTAATCGAGTCTGAACCTCATATCTATCACATATGCTCATTTTTAATTGTGAGACATGAATAATAGGGTGAATTAGAGAGTCTGCGGGCAATTCAAGCTTGTATGCCACCTCACCTACGCTTCCCTTGACTTGATACGGCCTGTAAAAATGACTCTCTAATTTATATAACGCCTTCTGGGAAATGGTTTGTAGTCTGTGCGATCGTAACTTCAAATAAACCCAATCGCCTGATTAAAATTTTTCGTCCCTAGGTCCTTTGTCATAGTACTCCTTCATGCGGTTAATGGTTCTAGACAAATTATTTATGAGTTTTCTAATTAGTAGATCATGTTCCATCTGCTTCCGATCGACTTCGGTATTCGTCGATTTACTCATAAGATAACTGACAAGTATAGGATCGACTCGTCCATACACCAATTCAAACGGAGTGAACTTGGTCGAAGCATGAAAGTTAGTATTGTACCAAAATTCAGCCCAAGGTAAGAATCCTTCTCATTTTGATGGAAATTGGTGAACAAAACATCGAAGGTATTGTTCTAGTATATGATTAGTTACCTCGGTCTGGCCGTCAGTCTGAGGATGATATGTCGAGCTCATCGTCAATTTGGTCCCATGCATCTTAAAATATTCCTTCCAAAAGTTGCTCATAAAAATCCGATCTCGATCAGATACAATAGACCACGATACCCCATGTAATTTAATCACGTATTCCACAAATAACTTGGCTATGGATTTCATCGTATAAGGGTGGGCTAACGGGATAAAGTATGCATATAGACTGAAGCAAGCTTCGAGGGGAATCACACATATGCAATATAATAAAGCCCTCCTCACTAGCTACCACAAACTCCTAACATCCTCAGCGAAAGCGACAACTGACGATAACCCTAAGAAAAAAATCAATCACCGACCCGGATCTAGCAACTCTAAACTCCTACACTCAACAGACTATGGCTAACTAGACCCAAATAAGGCTATGTTTGGTAGACAAATAAGCTAGCTTATAGCTTATTTGGTTAGCTTATAAGCTATCTGTATTCAAATAAGCCTCGTTTGGTAGGACGAGCTTTTTTCAAAAAGCTCGAGCTTATTTGATAACTTCTTTAGGTAGATTTTCAAATAAGCAAGCTGAATTTTTTATTTCAGCTAGCTTATCAGCTAATTTTACCAAACACTTTTATTATATAAGCTAGCTTTTCAGCTATAAGTCATAAGCTAAAAAATTACTAATAAGCTATAAGTTAGCTTATCAGCTAGTTTTACCAAACATAGTCTAAATAAGGACTGGCCCTCCTTCCAAACAAATCACCACCGGATAACAATCCCATGACCAAACAATCGATACCTCCCCCAACCCAACCCCGACACCAACAAACAAACCAAAAGACAATACACTGGAGGGGAATCACCCAACACAACCTCAGAAATCGTTCGACCCCAGGGGATAAATCCTCGTCGGCGCTAGCTCCGGCCACCACGAGGGTGGCAGTCTTCGCCGGAGGCCTCGACCATACTCCAGGACCAGCAACCTGAACGGCCCGATGAACTCATCGTGAAGGAGAGAACTTAAGTGCTGAAGCCGTTGACGAGCTCCATGATGAAGATGGAGGTTTGGACCTTCGAGGATGCTAAGGGTCGAGGATCGAGACGACCCGAGGAGATCGTGCAAATGCGCGAAACAGAGCATGGATGGCCCTGGAAATGCGCACGAGCACGAATACGAGGCACGCGAGGATGGCAAGGGTCGATGCGGTCGCGGCAATGGCAGCACGACAACGCGGGCATGCGCACAAGGAGACCCGACAACAAGGGCGCGGACACGCGCAGATGATACCCGAGAACCCCGCACGGCGACGGCGAAGTCTGGGCGAGACTCGAGGCAGACATCGAGAGTCTTGCATAAGGAAGCAGGTACGCAGAAGAGGAACTCGCGCGAGTGTAAAGGCGCGTGAGCGTGGCGACCAAGCACACTGAAGCGAGACACGCGCAAAGCAGAAGCACACGATGCCCGTGGGTGTACAATACAAGCACGCTACGACAAGCACGTGCACACAAGTCGAGGTTCTAGCGCATAGGCACAGTGTGGACGCACGCACTGGGCAGACATGCGGACGGGCCCGGGCCTGGGAGCACGCGTGGGCCTGGTGAGGACGGGCCTGGCGAGCTGGCAGCGCGCCTAGGACACCGCACAAGCAGGCACGTGATGGTGTGTGCGGGCGAGACGCGCAAACGCACGAGGCATGCGACTTGAGGGCCGAGTGTTCTCGAAGACTTGGGGACCAAGTTAGCCGAGATCTTTCTAGAAGGGTTGGCCGATTTATATAACAATTTAATTATGAGTTTATTTAATTATGTCAAGATTGTTTAGGAGTTTGATTTATGTTGGGAAGCTTAGGATATTTACTTTCCTTAAAATAAGATGCACCAAATATTCTAGTTTCATTAAGATGCCTTTTTTCAATTTTAGCAGGTAATAATTCTTTCATCATCCGCTATTTTTTGTTTTGTTTTTTTTTTTTTANGGCTCGTTCTTTCTGGACGGAGATAGAATAATTCTAGTTCTCATATGCTTAGACTTAGTTATTCTCTTTAAATACTTGTCATTGTCATTCGAATTAAATATGTTTGAAATTAATAAAAAAACCGATCGCTTGATCACCAATCCCATGTGTTAGAATTCTTTTGAGTTTTATGTATTAATAGAAGGCCTATTGAGTGTCGTCCGCACAACTATTACCGAGAATAAAGACCTATTGTGCGTCTTTCAAAGCAACTTATTACGGAAGACAAAAGCGACTGACGCAAGTTGGAAGCAAACCAAGTTATCAGGATACACGATCTTCATTACTCCATCCCAACGCTGGTCAACCCGCGAGGGAGGAGGATTTGAGGAGGACGAAAGGAGGCTGCGATCAAATCTAGCTTATCTAGCTTTTTTCCTCTTGGGGCATGGGGGGAAAGAGACGGCTTTTTAGGAGAGATAAACACATCTACATATTTGCAAGGTTATTGTCAGTGTTACAAAGCAGACAACTAAAATTGGTTTCATTACACACTGAAACGGGTGGGAAAAGCCAAACCAACCAAAAACAGGTTTATCGGAAACTCAGAGCCACAAGCACTGGATACAGAAATTAAGGCCCAGAATAATCCTAACTACACCAAATTAAACTCTGCAGATAAACCAATTTTCAATTTTCGTGCACTAAATAATAAGTACACTTTATCCATACAATACTCCCGTCTCCCTTCCAGAGCTCATCATTATACCTCTTCGCTTCACTTCGAATATAAATCAAATTCCTAAAAAGCCAACAAAAGAAAGGATAACTCGAACAAAACAAGAAATGGAACTCAACCAAAGAATTGCCAGAATCGCTGCACATCTCCATCCTTCAAGTACCCAGGTTCCAATTGCAATTTTATTATCAGTATCCATTTTGTGTTACACATTACATTTTTTTTGGGGGTTTTAATTCTTACACTCGATCGTTTTCTTGGTTTTTTAAATTTTATTTACCCGAAAAAAAAAAAGATGTCGGAAAATCCGATATTGAGGCAATCGAATTGCAGGGCGAAAGGTGGGTCTCCAGGTTTTAAGGTGGCGATATTAGGTGCAGCTGGAGGAATCGGGCAGCCGCTAGCAATGCTCATGAAGATGAATCCTTTAGTCTCAGTGCTTCATCTTTACGACGTCGTTAATGCCCCTGGCGTCACCGCTGACATCAGCCACATGGATACTGGTGCTGTTGTAAGTTCCCTACTTATTTTGCAGTCCGAAGTACGTTTACTGTTGATTGTAGGAATCACCCCTCAAATTTGGTACAATTTCATTTAGAGTCCAGTTATTTTTTTTTCTCTTCAATATTACAGGTAATCCCCCTCAGTTTGTATTATCATGCTCTCTGTGTCGCTTCACTATCATATGTTGGTTGGTCATATCTATTTCATTTTATCATAAATACGATGATAAGTCCGAATTGAACTAAACTTTTTGTTTTTGTGTTTTTACTTTTTAGTGCCGTGTGGTGCTCATTGTGCCATTTGTCTGCGTAATTATGTTTTACAATCGTGCCTTGTCGTATTTGTGTTTCACGTAGCGTTCAAATCTGAGTGAAATGATCAAAATGGGGGAAAGATTGGAAGGAATGATTTTGGTTTATGGTAAACATCAACAAAAAAAAAGGAATACTAAGACACCAGCTAAGTAATGGTTGAAGAGAGTTTTTGCTATATCTTTTACTGTAAAAAATTTGAACAAGTCTTACAAATGGCATCCTCAATAAGTCAAGAATTTATCAGCAACGCTTTATCAGGCACATTATTTGTTATTCAATGAAATAACAAGATTTCGTTGTTATCAGGGTTAAGTTTCGAGTAGTTTTGTAAAAATATTCCTCAAAAAAAAAAAAGTTATAAACAATCAATCTTTTGACTATTATAGATAATATTTCTTTTAGCGTATTTTTTAAGTAAATGGAGAAATATACAAGAAAGACGACAGACACTGATCATCCCGAATAATTCCTTTATTTTTTTTTCATTCAAAAAAAAGGTGAGGGGTTTTCTTGGGCAACCACAGCTTGAGAGTGCTCTTACAGGGATGGACCTTGTCGTAATTCCAGCTGGCGTGCCGAGAAAACCGGGAATGACTCGAGATGACCTTTTTAACATCAATGCCGGTATTGTTAAGACATTGTGTGAAGGCATTGCAAAGTGCTGTCCTAATGCTATTGTCAATCTCATTAGTAATCCCGTGAACTCTACTGTCCCAATTGCTGCCGAGGTTTTCAAGAAAGCCGGGACTTATGATCCCAAGAAGCTCTTAGGGGTCACCATGCTTGATGTCGTGAGAGCCAATACTTTTGTGGTATGTTCTTTTATTGCATCATTTGTTTAGAAGATTGTCACTGAAAATTAGTAGCTGAAGTTAGATTTTTGATAGTGTCTCTGTTTAAATATGCTTATTTTGTTCGTAAAAGACAGCTGGAAGTAGAATTGAAAAATCTAAAAAAGTAATCCCTTGAGCTTTTGGACTCGGTTAAAGCTAGTGTATGCAAATACTTTTGCTTTTAAAATGTGTTTTGATGGATCGGTTTGTAAATAAATGAGTTTATCAGTTTATCCATTGCAAATCAGGTGCCATAAACAACATAATTTACCAATTTCAATGCTCCCTACTATATGATTTTGATTAATACATATAGTATGCATATTACTATTACTTATAAATTGCAGTAAAGTAGCTATGATCAAAAGGAGAAGAGTTTTTTATTTAGCGAGCAATTTATAGGACAATAACTTCGAATCGGGTGTGTTTGTATACAAATATATCCGCTCCAGAGTGAATTTTGAGAAAAGTAGTATTGTTAGTTGTTAGTAGGATTTTGATTTTATATTAAAATAATAATAAAAATAAAATAATTAAAGTTGATTTGATGTAAAAGTAGGAGAGAGATGATATGAAGTGATAGTTAAAATTATGTGAGTGGTTGAATAGTAAATTAAAGTTGATGTGATATGTAAGAATGATGTTTGGTATTATTTAATTATATTGATAATATTGAGGATAGTGTGGTTGAGTTAGAGTTGATTCATTAACTGTTTCCTGTAGGCTGAAGTTATAGGACTTGATCCAAGAGAGGTTAATGTTCCTGTTGTTGGAGGTCATGCAGGAGTTACCATTTTGCCCCTCCTCTCACAAGTATGACTGTCTTGTACAATTTCTTATACAAGAAGCGGTTGCAATTGGGTTAAACGTAAAATTACCATGAACTTTTTACTGTTTCTGCAGGTAAAACCCGCTTGTTCTTTTACCCCAGAGGAAACCGAGTACCTCACAAAACGCATTCAAGATGGTGGAACAGAAGTAGTTCAGGTATATAATGAATTTGTCTTAGCCTATGAAAAAAAGTGATTGTTGAGTTTCATCATAACGTTACATCTAAATATTGAAACTCTGTTGCAGGCAAAAGCAGGTGCAGGCTCTGCAACTCTATCAATGGTATGTAGTATCTGAACTCGTTCACACTGCGATATTTTACGATATTAAAAATTATAAAAACTGTATCAAAAAAATATTTTTAGCGCATCAAGCAAGAATTAAGAATATAAAATACATGTAAATGTGAGTCAAAATTTGCAGGCATATGCAGCTGTTAAATTTGCTGATGCATGCCTTAGAGGCTTAAGAGGCGATGCTGGCATTGTTGAATGTGCTTTTGTAGCTTCACAGGTAAATTAATGTGAAACACGACTTTTCTTTAGATTGTAATTAATAATTCTACTAAA